GGGTTGAGAGGTTGGGATGGGCGGGACTCCGCGGCAGGGTCACGATGGGCGGGAGGGTCGGGGCGGGTGGGATAGGCTCGGGATGGGTGGGAGGGTCGGGACGGGTTGAGAGGTTGGGATGGGTGGGACTCCGCGGCAGGGTCACGATGGGCGGGAGGGTCGGGCTTGGCGGGACATGGTCGGGATGGGCGGGACTCTGGGGGAGGGTCGGGATGGCCGGGAGGGTCGGGATGGCTTCTGAAGACTAGTTACAGCAAACGGCTGCTGTAACCGGTTACAACAAACGGTTGCTGTAACAGGTTACAACAACCGTTTGTTGCAATTGGTCTTACCAAATGGTCACTGTAACCGTTTGCAGCAACCAGTTACAACAACCGTTTGCAGCAACCGTTTGTTGTAACGGGTTACAGCGACCGTTTGCTAAGACCAGTTGCAACAACCGGTTCCTGCAATCGGTTGCTGCAAACGGTTGCTGTAACCGGTTACAACAACCGTTTGCAGCAACCGATTGCAGTAACCGGTTGTAGCAACCGGTTGCTGTAACCAGTTACAGCAAACCTATTGACCCTGCAGACAGTTGCTGTAATGAGGGTCGGGATGGGCGGTACAGGGTTAATACGTTTGTTGTAACTGGTTGCTGCAACCTGCCTGTGGGACTGCAACCGTGAATGCAGTGTTTCTAACTGTTGTCTTTCCCGTCATGTCCGTCCTTGCAGCAACCGGTCACTATTCTTCGTCAGCTTCAACGTCTTCGACAGTCCCACATCCACGTGCGTCATGGCCAGTTCAAGCAAGGCCACCACCGCAGCCAAAGGAAAGTCCCAGTCCAAGCACCCCGTGTTCATGGCCCAGCCGGAGGAAAGACAGAAAAGTTTGCAGAACGAGAAGACCATGTACAAGTGGATTGAGCAAGGGAAGGAGGCGGACCCAAAAGGGTATGGGCAGTGCAGGGTGAGAAGTAGGCTGTGCAACCAGTTGTTCACAGCATCGAAGTCATGTGCGAAGCAACATTTCCTGAAGAAGAGAGCAGCATGTCCTTACCGCACGGGGGAGATTCTCCATTTGTTGGAGTTGGATGGAGCTAACATTAAAGAAGGTGGTGCAACAACTCAGACAATGCTGCATAAGTACAGAATRGATAATGGCATCGGCGAGGACTGCGGCTTGGAAGCGGAGCCAGTGCGTCAGGCAGCAACGGAGTTGGAGCGGCATATTGTCCCACCGCCTGCACCGGGGAGGGACTCTATTGTAAACATTGACACCGCACAAGAACCTGAGCCTGCCGATCCAGATGTGGTGGTGGGAGATGAGATGGCCCCTGGTCCGTCAGGTCAGGCATCCACAAAGGTATCGAAATCGGGGA